ATATAAAATTCAAATATTCAGAAGCAGAGTGTCAATTGATTCATCGGTCCCTGAAAGGAAGAACTGTGAAAGGAGCTTTCGAAGATCTAAAATCAGGAGCCCTTAATTTCAGTACCCGCCAAATCAGAAACCAGATGAAGTATCAGCCGGATTGTGTGAAGTCGAAGAGGGGCCGCGTGAGCGTGACAACACCAGAATCACTCGCATCTTTTGGAACAGAAAATGGCTTCCGTCTATTTTCTAGTGGTAAACAGGAACGTTTTTTTGAAAATATAAAATATGGGATTATTAAGCATATGGCTGGACAGTTACAGATTGATAGCACTTTTGATTTGTCAGATTGTGTTGTGACAACAATCTCTGGAGATATAGGAGACTTCACATCGCGCTGCAGCGGAAAAATTCGCCATGTTCTCTTAGGATTCATGATTTCCTCGTCGAAAAATGCACTAAATCACAAGAGTTTTGCTCGCGAAATTGACGATTTCTTCCTGCAAGTTGATCCTATGCGAAAAAAATCAATTCCATCACTGATGACAGACGGCGAAGAATCTTTTAAATATTACAGCAAGGTATAGAAAACTTTAAATTTGTGTAGTCTCATGTTTCTTTCAGATGAAATATTTGGAAGACAATCAAGTTCTCAGGTGTCTAGTACATCGTCGAAACAACTTGACATTCATTCAAAGTAAAAAGAATATAAGCCAGTCAGATTTGAACAAAATTTTCGGAAGACAGATTGGAGATGAAGTTGAAAATGGAATTTTCAATGTAATGAGTTCAGAAGCGATGGAAGCGGAGATTGTCAAGTGTAATTTTGCGCCGGCTCTAAAGAAGTGGTTGCTCGATAGAAAAGAAGATCTCTTTTCAACCCATTCTCTCCGATCTCGTCTGATGGCTGGGCTGCTTCTAAACTATGCATCTACGAATCGAATTGAGAACCTTAATTCACGAATCAAAATTGCGATTCCACGAAAACTAAATGGACGCACTTGCTTGGATAAGCTGTTGGAATTTATCGAGGGTAGGGTTGACTGTAAAAACATCTAAAGTTGGATATGTTTTACAGATGAGAAAAAGGAATTTTGCAAGTCGATTTTGACTGGAAAGAGCGAGCTGATCCGATACGCGAATTTCAAAAAAACCGGAATTTTGTCAGCACAAAGTCAAGTTAAAG